TGGCCGGAGTCTACACACTCACCCTTTAAACCACTCTGCTTCTTGAAAAAGGAGTGTCAGGGGGTATGCTTGCCGGCTGTATAAATGGTGGCATCGGGGAAGTCTCTCTGAGAAGGTGGGGTTTGCACACAGATCTAAAGGAGGTGAGGGAGTGAGCCGCAGGAATACGGCAGAGCATTCTACGCACACAGGGGGACAAGTGACTTGTGCCACGTCCCGTCATCAGTTATTAATAGAATAGAAGAAGGACCAGGGTTGTCTCCTGACATTCTTCTAGGCTTTTCACCATACCTCTTTCAGTATTCCACTAAGGCTGTACAGAGGGTGCCAACAAAAGGTAGACACATTTTAAGAAAGGAAAACTGTATTAAAATTGTAATACTCAGTATATACGGATAACAAAAGATGAATACAAGTCACGTTTGACTTCTGCAATTACAAGAGGTGCTCCAAGTGGTTACCATGAGCATCCAGACACTTCTGATTACAATAAACTACTGCTTGAACAATGTTGACCAAAGTGTCCACTTGTATACATTTTTTTGGCACCCCCAGTATATATCACAGTTCATTTAGCCATTCTTTTGATAGACACAGCCCGGTTTTTGTCGTTATAAATAACACTGCAACAAGCGTCCTTGTCTGTGTCTGCCATGCCCACATGAAACGTTTCCATTGGGTATGCATCACGTTAACTATACCAGACTTTGGCTTAATGACTCTCCAAAGTAGTTGTACCAATTTAACCACGAATTCCCCCAAAATGTCATCAACCCCTGGTACCGTCAGACTGCAAAGGTTTCATTCAATCTAATGAATGTGAAGTGATATCTCATTTCACTTTGCGTATTAATTCTGCGTACCCTAATTACTCGTGTCGTTAAGCACCTCTATGCATTATATATTGGCCACTGTTTCCTCTTCTGTAACTTGCCTGCTCATGATTTTCCCCATTTTTCTAATTTAACTTGTGGATGTTCTTTCTGTGGTCAGTACACTAATCCTTTGTCAGTTACAGACATCGAAGCTATCTTATTCCACTCCATGGCTTGGCCTTTCATTTTGTTTATGATGTCTCCTGTCATTCAGAAAATTTCAATTTTAATGAGTCAAATGTAGCAATCTTTTCCTCTTACAATTTGTGTTTTTTAAGATTTTTACTTTGTTACAATACTTTCTTCTATATTTTTTTTCCAAAGTTTTAAAATTTTGCTCTTTCAGATTTAGGCTAATCCATCTGGAATTTATTTTATGGCTAGTTTGAGGTAGAAGCATAGGTATTTAATGATTTGCCATGTGCTAACCAATTATCTCACACCATTTATAGACAGCTCTTTCCACACTTGTTTGAAATGCTGCCTCTAGCTTATTCAAGTTCCTGGGTTCTCAAGGGTCTGTCCCGGGAATCTCTCTTCTCTTCCTTTGGCTAATTTGTCTACTTCTGCACCACATCACACTGTTTTAATCACTAGAGCCTTATAATAAGGGACACATCATATAATGCAGTCCTTCTCCTCCTCCTGTTCCAATTTCTTCTTCAAATATTGCCTCTGTTCTTCTTGACCCCACGTTTCCCTTATGTGAAAAGCTCTGTTGGGATTTGGGTTGAAATGACATCTTTCCATTTATAAACAGAGTCTCTCTCTCTATTTCTTCTGGCCATTTTTGTCCTTCAATAAAGATTTTGTATGTCTTTTGTAGCGATATTAGTTTTTGTTGCTATGGGGAATGGTATCTTTTTGCTATGGCGTTTTCTAATCTAATTGATTATTGCTGATATAAAGGAATGTTGACGTTTTCAGCACATTCATTTTGTTTTGAGCAACCTTGTTGAACCTTCTTAATAGTTTGAAAAGTTTGTAGGTAGATTATCTCATATTTTGTGTTTAAATAATCACACTATCTGCATATAACCAGAGGTTTGTCTCTCTTTAAAAAAAAATCCTTCACTACGTGGCCCCCAGGGCTTCTCTGATTCCCAGCCTGTGCTTTTCTGTCCTGAGATTGTGTGTTTTGTTCCTGTGAAAGGTGAGGCAGCCATGGATTCATCTTCTGGAGATGTGTGCCTAGCTCTGTGATAGGGACAATTCGGGGACATATAAAAACATTTGTAAAAGTACTTAACACAGTGCCTGGCTTTTATTAGAAATGCAGTAAACATTTGTTCATTCATTCATTCATTCATTCATTCATTCATCTGAGAAGAGATGGTCTCCATGACAACCAATGGGGAGTCAGGATTTCTAATCTGGTCAGAAGTAGGACTGGGAGCTTGCCTCAAAGCTTCACCTGCATGTATATTGAAAAATAAATTTTTTTCTTATCATAGAATGAGGATGTGGTGAACTTTAACCCCATCCCCACTTAAGCTACTACTTTGGCACCTTTTCCCCTATAAAAACTG